CATGAATGAGATGTTCTTAAGAGATAACTAGGAGTTTCTCAGTCAGTGCAGGGGAGAAAGGACACTCCTGGCAGAGAGAACAGAATATGCAGGGTAAATGAAAAAAATGGCAAGCCTCTGGAATTTGGTGTGTTATAAGATGGTATGTCATCATATGATATGGCTGAAACATTGGGTCACATAGCAGAATGGTGAACCATGGTGTGAGGAGGGAAGGCAGAGACCAGGTCATAGACGGAAAGCCTTGGAGGTTATACTAAACAGTTCAGCTATCATCCTGCAGTCGTGAGAAACTACTGAGAGGTCTTAAGCTGCAATAAACAATCAGATTTGCAACATAGAAGGGTCATGTTTTAAGGAGGACCGGCCAATTGCTGAGATCAGGGGTGGTAAGCTGTTGGGAGACTGGAAAGTTCAATAGAACACTATTATCATAGACCAGGAAAGTCATGTAGACCTTAATTAAAGTGGTGGGAAAACAGAGGAGAGAATTAACGTAAGAGATTGAAGAGATAGACGCAAGAGAATCTGGAGACTGGTGAAGAAGCAGGAGAGGTCTTAGATAACTCCTATCCTTCTTGATTGGGTGTCTGGGTAGGTGGTGGTACTATCTATCAGGACAGGAAAGTGGGAGAAGAAACAATATTGTGGGGATAAAGGAGTTCATTTTGGGCCAAATTGAATTAATTAATTGTGCCACTAGGACATCCTGGTTAATTAAGATGTTAGATAACTGGATATGGTAGTCTCTTTCTTTTGTCTTCCAAGCTGAACTGCCATCAAATAACCCAAGAAATGTACAGGCCTTCAGTCAGTCAACTCTTTCCTTTAAAATCACCAGGCAGTGGTTTCTACCATAGTCCTTGGAAATGTACTTCAGAAGAAGAAAAGATTCAGTATAAACTGAAGACAAGAAATCTTAGAAGAATCAGGGCACCTATGTTGGTATCTTCAGATCTAGGTACTGCTGAGACTTGAATAAATTCTCTTCATTCCAGCATATGACAACCAGGCTTCATTTTGAGAGCTAAGATGTTTGCATTGGTGGATAAGAATCAGTTGGGCCATTCCATGGGGCTGATCTCATGAATTTGTCTCTGACTACATGAAATCTATTTGTATACACCAAGAGGATTTGGTTATGAATGATGCGGACTGGTGTTCTCCCTAAGGGAGTAATTTTTATTCCTAGAGACAAGATGTACAAATCAGCCAGGGCAAAGCAGAGATGCTACTTGGATAAACTTGGGTGCCAGCAAATCTTATTGCAGAATAAGACTCCAGTTTAATCTATTGTCTGAAAGGAATTCCTTTCACCACTCAGTATTAAAAAATGATCACCATGTGTTTCTTTACCAATAAAGAAATTGCATTTGGAAATGCCTTTCCGAGTTAAATTACCTAGTAATAATGCTTTGGGTGTGTATATGTGGGGCGGGGACAGTGGGTGGGGGTGGAGGAGTGTTAGAAAGGAGAAACTCCTGCCAAGTTTTTGGGGGAGAGAGGGGAATATCATGTAGACATCAGTAAAGTTAAAATAAGAAAAAATTAAAGTGTCAGCAGTGAAAATTTAGCACATTTCTGGCTTCATATACCATGCTTGTTTTCCATCCATGGCATATAGAGATAAAGATATAATTCTCTTGATATGGGTTAGATTTCATCCTCTTTCCCAAGTTCATTACTTACCTCGATTGCTTTGTAGATTGTTAAAAAGCTACCTGCCTCTGCACGTTTTGACAGGGTGTCTTGTAGAAAGTAGAGCAAACTCAAAATGCTAGTCTGCTTCTCAGTTCCACTGCACTCAACAGAGATAAGACATCAAAGGCTGCAGTTTGGCAAAATGGATGAGACTTCTATTTCCCTAACCTGCAATTCCAGTCCTAATTCCACCCAAAGTCCAGTCCTGGCTTTTTAGTAGCTTTTATATGTCCCTCTGTGGGCACAGACTCCACGTGCTTAAATTGCATGTATTGTCTCTCCTTCTCACCCAACTAACCACCATTCTCCCCTTATCTCTGAGCCTACCCTTCCAGAATTATCCTAATTCCCCCAAAAGTAGGTGTATGAGTCTCACTTATAGGCTACATGATTCATTCCTAAGTACCAACTTTTCACCTCTTGATTTTATGTTTGTACTGTAGCAATATCATGACCCTCAAGAACATTTAAAACCAAATATGCTAAATCTGTGGGTGTCGATGTCTGTGAGTCTATAGCTGTCTACTCAACAACTTTATGAGGTTCATTGATACCTCAAACTAACCATGGACATAACTGAATCCATGGTTTCTTCCACCCTCACTCCATTCCCTTCCTTCCTCATTCCCTTATCTCAGAGACTGTACCATCACCCCTAAACTGCTCAAGCTAGGACGGTCCTCTCACTGACTCATCTGCCCATTTGCTGCCAGTCCTCTTTAATCCCACCTACTCAAAGTTCTCAAATCGTTTCACTCTATAACCCCTGCCCTCCCTCAGTCCAAGCATTTAAATTTCCTTTTGGAGTAAAAGTATTATAACCGTTCTCCCTGACTCTACTCTGACGGTGGCCCTCTGATCAAAGCCAGAGTGATCTTTCTAGAATGTAGTTTTGAGCATAACATTCTGCTCCTTTGCACCTTTCAATAGCTTCCTTTTGCCTGCATAATACTTCTGAAGAGCCTCCATTACAGCCTGAGCACTCTGTTCCCATCAGCTACAATTCAGTAACTCTCTACTTTTACATGTCACTCCTCCTGTCCACAAATCTACTTCTTCTTATGCGTCTCTCTCTCTCTCTTTTTTTTTATCCTCACCCGAGGACATTTTTGCATTTATCTTCAGATTCAGCAGGAGGGAGAGAAGGAGAAAGAGAGAGACAGAAACATTGTTATGAGAGAGACACACCGACTGGCCGCCACCCACACGACCCCAACCGGGACCAGGGATAAACTGCAACTGAGGTACATGCCCTTAGTGGGAACCGAACCTGGGATTCTCTGGTCAGCGGGGTGACGCTCTAACCGCTGAGTAAAACCGGCCAGGGCATCCTTCTTATGCTTCTCAAATGCCTCAATACCTTACATTGCTTCCTCCTCGTTCTAGAAATGAGAAACTGCCATTCTTAACAATGTGATCAGATTAAAGAAAATACTTACCTAAAAACATGTTTCTAAAGGGTGTCTACCCAGACTAAATGGCCCTTGGTTGGCCAAATGTCTGGCTGAGGTTTATAAAATGAAAAAGCAGGACCAGGGGTTAGTTAAAGATTGGAAAAGTCAAATTGTAGTACATACTAGAGAAAGGGGAATTATAGGTTTCATAGGAGTTGGGTGAAGATAGTTTGATAGAGAAGGAGTGAGGGCATGAGAAAGAGGGAAAGGGACATGTGAGGAGAGTATGAAAATGAAAGACAGCCCAGGATCATGGTGACATGCTGTGGCCCGTAAAGGAAGATGTCTACTGAGCAATTCTCAGGGAAAAGGATGGACAAGTGGTTCTTGAATAGTAGAGTGCTTATGATTACATTTTATAAGGCTTATCTTGACTATTCTGAGTTGTGATCCCTTTCAATTACCCCTAAACCTTCCATAAAAATCTATTGCAATAGCATTCTATGCTAGTGCACAACAGTGCTGCAAGACAGAGGTGATGCAGGCACGGAGAGAGTACAGCTGGTTTAGAGACGAGACAGTAGCCACCAGGGCTCAGGGATGACAGGGGAAAAGGCCATAGTATGGACAAACCACAAGAAATCAGACTCACAAAACTGCCTAGACATCTTGGTCAGCAGGTTAGATTTTTTACCACCTGAAGGACTGTGTCTCAGAGTAATTTGCTTGACATCGGAGGGAAAGAAGATGCAACTCCTATAAGGCAGAAAGAACTAGGGACTTCCAGGCAGCTGGCCCTCAGGCTATAGTTGGAACTCATTCAATGAAGTTATAGCATTGCTATAAAGTAAATAAGTAATTTTGAGCCCCGGCCAGTTTTGTTCAGTGGATAAAGCATCGGCCTACAGACCAGAGAGTCCTGGGTTCGGTTCCCACTAAGGGCACATACCTCGGTTGCAGTTTGTCCCCGGCCCTGGCTGGGGTCATGTGGGTGGAAACCACTCGAAGTGTCTCTCTCACGTTGATGTTGCTCTCTCTCTCTTCCTCCCTCTCTCCCTCCCGCTCCATCCGAAAATAAATGCAAAAATATCCTTGGGTGAGGATTACATAAATAAATAAATAAATAATTTTGAGTAAGTAAATAAATGCAATAATAAATATGCTAGTTAAACTAGATATGCTTAGAGAAGGGGGTTGGTAAAAATCACATTGGATTGTAGGTATAATGTTACAAGAGTATTGATAACAACTTTAAAAGATTGGTCTTTAGTCTCTGCATACTTAACTTACAAAAAAAAAGGTATATTGTTTCCAACAGGTCACAGAAATAATGACATGGTATTGATTCAAATTAGGGAGAAAGAGAAAGTAAAGTGTGTGGAAGAGAAGAGGAAGAAGTTGCTTACCACTGTCCTAGAATTTTCACAATTTCTAATTTAGAAGTTCAGGAAACTAAATAAAATTTACATTATATCTTACATAATAGAATTTATATAATAAGCAGGTAAAAGTCATCAAGCTCAGGATGTCACCCTTCAGGACAGATTTTAATGCCAACAGAAATCATTTCAGACATAAAATATATTTCCAAAGTCTAAAAAGATATTCCTTCACACACAGTCCCAGCAAGTATACATGAGAACATTTGGTGCTTACTGCAGAGTCACTGGAGTTTCGTAGAGATGAACATCTCTCTAGGACCTCAGTGCTCAGTGCCAATCAGAATTTGAGAAAGCAGTGTGAATGAATATGTATGTGAAATATTAATATATCCTGATTCCCAAGGCAGAAGCATCACCCCAGAAAATTGGGGGGTTCAAGAATTCCAAAGTCCTTGCTAATTAACTTGGATGTATTAGACAGGATAAGTTTGAAGGCACTGCAGTAATAATCTAACATTCTCACCGGTGTAGCATAACAGAAGATGATTTCTTACTCATACAATGTCTTTAGCAGATCTGGGAGACTAGGCAGAATTGCTGATCTCCATGCACAGGTGAAATTTCCACGTTGCTTAGATTTTATGGTTTCTCCATACCAACATACACTCCCACGGTTGCTATGGCCTAGGAAGAAAGCATGGAAAATCACAAAATGGCTTTCATCCATAGCTCACATTTCAGTCACATGACTATCCTGAACTTCAAGAGGGCATGTGCCCCCACCTCAAAACAGGAGGATCAGAAATCTTGATGGCAAACATTAATAACGTCTACTATAGATATGTAGCAAATATTTAGATTTTACTTGCATTCCCACAAAAAAAGATAAGACGCAAAGGTTTCCAGGTATTTTCAAGCATCAGAAGCTTTTTTTACTCACTTTCCTCCCACTTGTTTCTTGGTTCAGTATGACGTGACCAAGAAGAAAAAATGGACTTCAAATAAATTATTTATTTTAATCCAGCCCACATTACTAGTGAATGGCTAAGAGCTTTCCTTTATCTATTATAAGGTTTCTCAATCTTGGCACTATTGATATTAGGGTCAAGATTATTCTTGGGAGACTGTCTTATGTTGCGGGATATATAGTAACATTCCTGGTCTCAACCCACTAGATGACAAAAGCATCCCTCCCACTCCAGTTGTGAAAACCAAAAACATCTCCAGACATTTTACCCTGGGGGGTAAAATTATTCCTGGTTGAGAACCACTTTTCCATTTGCTTTTTTTGACCACTAGGAAGGGTTCAGGTCATCTAACACATGAAATGACCCAGTACTGAGCACTGATAGAAATAGACCAAAGATAATACATTTTCTCCCTCCAGATCTACCACTGATACTTTGAGCAGGTTTCTGACTCTTTTTACCTTATTTCTAGAATGGGGAGAATAATGTTACCTGGCTCACAAGCTTATTGTAAGAATTAAATGAGACACTAAATAACCTATCCCTTTTTCTCTATTTTGAGAAACTACTTCTGTATACACCTAGGTCCCACATATACATGGAATCTACTTCTGGACTTTCTGTTCTGTTCAACTTGTTCCTTTGCATATTCCTGTGAAAATTCCTCGCTGTGTTGATTTACCATTATTATTATAAAGCCCTCTATTATCTATAGATGACTTGTCTTGGAAACTCAGCCATCAGTAAAGGGACTACAAACTGAGAAGTGAAGAAAAAGGCCTGCAGAAGCCCTCCACTAAAGTTCACATACTTTTTAAATCGTGATGTCCCCCAAGGTTTATAGATGGCTTATAAATTATTTCTTCTTCAGCCCCTGCACCATCTTGTACCTTACACACAGGTACAGGCACCCAATAAATTGCTACTGAAGGACAAAATATCCAATTTCGACATAAGTCAAACAAGCTTAACATTACTGGGCTTCCCCACATCACCTTAGGTTAGAAGTCCCAAACTAGGTAAGATGAAGACAATAGACGCCATTAATATAGGCAGGGCTGGCATCAGCAATAAGTGACCGGAGACAGTCTGACATCAAGAGGAAATTAAAGGTTAGACATTAATTAAAAAATAAAAACCACATTTTCTGAAAAGTAAGCAGCCACACACATCACAATAACCCCTTAGCTGCATTACACTGTCAGTGCATAATAATTGACATCCCTAATAATGACTTTGACATTTTAAAAAATGCTAATTCTGTTCAGTGTGTTCTATTTTTAAACATTTAGAGTAGTGTGTAAGGCACTTGAGAAAGATTTCTATCACAGACTTATAAAATATATAATTTGCGCCCTGGCCGGTTTGGCTCAGCAGTTAGAGAGTCGGCCTGCGGTCCAGAGAGACCCGGGTTCGGTTCCCGCTAAGGGCATGTACCTCGGTTGCAGTTTGTCCCCAGCCCTGGTTGGTCGTACGGGTGGCAGCCACTTGATGTGTCCCTTTCACGTCGATGTTTCTCTCTCTGTCTCTCCCTCCCACTCTATCTGAACAAAAAAATGGAAAAATGTCCTCAGGTGAGGATAAATATATATATATATATATACACACACACACACACACACACACACACACACACACACCCCTTATTGCAATATACCTTAAAGATGACCTAATCTAATTTTTCTAGATTTGGAAAGTCAGTCCCAGCAAGGTGAAGTGCATTTGTCCAAGGTCAAGTGCCCAAAGAGGCAGAATTGGAACTAAAGTCCTAGTTTGCTGACTCCATGGAAAGTTCTTTTTCCACTGCAGAACATTTTCTAAAATATAAATCTGTTTCTTTAATTAATTAAAAATTGCCAAATTTAATATTTGGCAACTCAAGGGTATACTTCACCTACACGGAATTTTCCTGCACTGAGTGATTAATCAACTGATCCTTAATGAGCCTTTATGTTGCTCAAAAAATGGTAGTTTAGATCTGGTATATGTGTCAAAGGAGGGAGAAAACATGATGCTTGATTCAAGTGACTGAATTTTCTTTGGAAAAGAAAACAATGATGTTTTAAATGTGAAGAACATTAGAATACACTAGAAGGGGGTGGTGTGGTGGAAGCCTGGATCACATTTTCTAAGCCATTCATTCAAACAGGTTATCTAACAAGTATGAGTTATTTATGAAGATGGGGGGGTAGTTATGGGAAATATTATAAATTTAGCCTGGCCTAAAAAAAGCTAAGTTGAAGGAAAGAGAGAATAGGAAAATGGCCCACTTGTTCTAGAATAGCAGTCTGATAGAAATATAATATGTGCCATATATGTAATTTAAAATTTTCTTGTAGCCCCATTTAAAAAGCAGAAGCAACAGATTAAATTCATTTTAAAATATACTTTATCTAACTCAATATATCTAAAATGTCATTTCAAATGTATTCAATACACAAAATATTAATATGTCTTACATTCTTTTACCCATAATAAGTCTCTGAAAGCTAATGTGCATTTCACATAGCATATCTTAATTTGTACAGTAAATTCATCAGAAATACTTGATCTGCATTTAGATTTATAAAACAACTGTAAAGATTAATTCACATATCCAAGTTGTTCCAGACATAACCTAAATGTCTTCCAGTAACTGAATCAAATGCATAAAATCCAATTTTGTTCATATTTATACCCACATTCACAAAACTCCTTCAGTTTTTATATTTAAATGCCAATCAAGCCTGAAACACCAACCAGAAAGAATATATGTACCCCCATGTTCCTAGCAGCACTATTTACAATAGCTAAGATCTGGAAACAGCCCAAGTGTCCATCAGCAGACAAATGGATAAAAAAGCTGTGGTACATGTACACAATGGAGTACTGTGCAGCTGTAAGAAAGAAAGATCTCTTATCCTTTGAGACGACATGGAGGGACCTACAAGGTATTATCCTAAGCCAAACAAGCTAAGCAGAGAAAGAAAAGTATCACATGATCTCACTTATTTGTGGAATGTAATGAACTTAACAGTCTGAGGAATAGGGTAGACCCAGAAACATGGAAGTGGGGTACAGACTGACAACCCTCAGAAGAGGGGATGGTGCAGGGAGGGAAGAGATAAACCACAGAACTTATATGCATGTACGCATAACCAATGGACATGGACAAAGCAGGGGACAGGGTGGGGGGGATGGGAAGGAGGGTGTCAATGGGGAAAAAAGGGAGAAACTACTGTAACACAAAAAATTTAAAAAATAAATAAATGTAGCCAAAAATAAAAAATAAAAAGGAAACCCTCAAAATAGGAGTTTGTGGAAATAATGTAAATGGAATTAAATGCATTTGCTTTACCCCCCAAAATAAATAAATAAATAAATAAATAAATAAATAAATAAATAAATAAATAAATTCCTCATGCCTTCTGGACAAATTTCAAGGGTTCAATCACACTTGTAACTAGTAGCTATGCATTAGGCTGTACAGGTCTAGAGGCGGGTTTCAGAGTTGAGAAGCAGGGTTGCCAGGTGACATAGGCCCTTGGATGGCAGACTCAAGTGTCCAGAGGGAGACTGCATATGAACTCGTACACGAAGTGGAGCCACTCTATACTATCCACCAAGAAAGAAGGAGATATCAAGACAAAAACAGATTTCTAGGAAAACTATTCTACAACAAAATAGAGGAAACAAAAGTCAAACAAAAAAATTAGGGAGACTAATGTACAGTTTTATTGTAGTAAATAAAATGTGAAATAAGGACTGAAACTGGAGGAGGAGGGAAGGAGGAATGAGGCAGAGTCAATGACCTGAGAGGCTGTTTGTTAGATGGAAGAACTGACAACACCGAAACATATAGGACACCAAAGAAGAGCCCCTTGTTAAAGACCTCATAGAGACCTGATTTGTGTGTGTTTGTTTGCATGTTGTTTAGGTTTATGTTTTGTATTTGTTTTTGTTTTTTTTTTCTCTATTCTCTCTTCTACATGTACTTAACAGGGAAAATTATATTCCACAGTGGTTTTCAGGAGTTTAAGGATTATTGAAGTAACCCTTGAATTCCTCTTGGGAATGTAAAGGGTCTATTATTATGGAGCACAAGAGTAGAGGAGAGAAGTGAATAGGAAAGGAGGGGAGGGGAGAAGAAAATGGAGAGAGAGGCTATAAATTTTAAACTTAGGATTTACCAATAAATAGGTGATAGGTCCAATTATTTCAGTGACTGAGATCACCCAGGAAGATAAGTAGAGTGAGAAGACATGGGCCATCCCAGTGACAGTACATTTCTAGAGACAGAGAAGCCTTCAAAGGAATGTCTCCAAAGTGCAAAGAGACTGAACCAGACAGGTGAGGTGCTTGCTCGATGGCCTCATTCACTCAAACGTTTATTGAGACAAAGACCTAAGTGTTCGCATTCTAGATACAAGCGACATGAGCCACCCTGGAAGAGTGTACTGCTAGAGTTACAGCAAGAACTGAACCCCAGAGAGCCTCTCCCTGCAGCAAAGTCTCTGTCCTACAACAAAATAGAGTAGGAGTCATGCACAGTGTTACAGGGTTCTGGCCTTTGAGATAGATTGGTCTAAATTATATTCTATTCCCTTGAAGTTTCACTCGCCATTTCTAAAAATGTTCTTCAAGGAAGATCTTACTTTGACTAACAACAACAAAGTAATGAGATTCATACCTTAAAGGGAAAAGAAAAGATGGAGCTGAGTAGAGTTGGAATGATGGAGAAATCTTCCCATTTATAGTAGTGATGGTACTGGAGGCAGCACAGGGCTTTGAGGCAGGAAGTTGGTGTTGGTCTGCCATCCATTAGCTGCTGCAATGAGATGGGTGTGAAGGTATAAAATATATAAATTAGGATGTAAGAAAATTCAGAGTACATTCAGTTCAATATGAAAGGATGACATATTATACCATGTAATTTAAAAAGGAGTGTTCAAATTGAATTAGGATAGGAAGGTTTCACTTTGATACTTCTTTCCATAGAAATATAACAATATTTTTCATTAAAGATAAAAAAATACCACCATATTTTCACCTGCTCTAATGACAGATTTTTATGCTACCCTGGTGAACAATTATGATTTTACATTTGTTAGTTAGTTATGAAACTTCTATTTAACCTGCTTTGTAATTTGAGGGAATGCTTAGTATTCTGGGCTCAAACTGTGAAACACAGTAGAGAAAATTACTTATGTTAGAAGCCTAATTCCTTTTATTGAATAGTTGGCTCTTTAAAAAGTCCTTTAAAGGAAGAAATTTATTAATAAACTGTAACTATTTGCATAAAACAATGTTCTCCCTCAATTCAGGCCTTACTTTTTTCTTCCCAATTTTTTTTTTTCATAAAATGTAGAACTCAGTCTCATTAACTTTACACTTTTCTCAGTGACATTCAAGATTCTGAAATCAGAGAACCATGGAAGATGCAATAAGAAAAAGAAGTTTTCTGGAATGTTTTCCTTTCTCCTTCTCCTGATGTCTCCTATACATCATTCATGTGCCAGCTGAAACACCACCTCTAGGAAAATGGAGCTCATTCATATGGAGTTCTCCGTGCCCTTACAATATCTCTACACTCTTGGAGAAATCTGCTGGGATTTTTTAAGTTATTTTACTTTTTCAATTACAGTTGAAATTCAACATTATTTTATATTAGTTTCTGGTGTACAGCATAGTGGTTAGACATTTATATAACTTACAAAGTGATTCTCTGATAAGTCTAGTACCCACCTGGCTCCATACATAATTATTACAGTATCATTGACTATATTCCCTATGTTGTACTTTACATCCCTGTGACTATTTTGTAACTACCAATTTGTACTTCTTAATCCCTTCACATTTTTCACCCAGCTCTCCAACTGCCCCTTCCACCTGGCAACTATTAGTTTGTTCTCTGTACCTATGAGTCTGTTTCTGTTTTGTTTATTTTGTTCTTTAGATTCCACATACAAGTGAAAGCATATGGTATTTGTCTTTCTCTGATTGATTTATTTCACTTAGCATAATACCCTCTAGGTCTATCCATACTGTTGTAAATGATAAGACTTCATTCTTTTTGAAGGCCAAGTAATATTCCATTATATATGTGTCCCACAGGTTTATCCAACCATCTGTTTATAGGCACTTAGGTAGCTTCTATATCTTGGCTATTATAAATAATGCTGCACTAAAATAGGGGTGCATACATCTTTTAAAGTTAGTTTTGGATTTCTTCAAATAAATACCCAGAAGTAAAATTGTGGGTCATAAGGTGGTTCTTTTTTAAAATTTTATGAGGACTCTCTATACTGTTTTCCACAGCGGCTGCACTAATTTGCATTTCTACCAACAGTGCACAAGGGTTCCCTTTTCTCCAACATTTGTTCTTTGTTGATTTATTGATGATAGCCATTTCAACAGGCATGAAGTGATATCTCATTGTGTTTTTAATTTTCATTTCTCTGATTAGTGATGTTGAGCATCTTTTCATATGTCTATTTTCCATCCATATGTCCTCTTTGGAGAAATGTTTATTCAGGTTTTCTCCCATTTTTTAATTGGATGGTTTGTTATTTTGGCATTAAGTTGTATGAGTTCTTTATAAATTTGGAAATTATATGTATCATTGGCAAATATTTTCTCCCAATGGTAGGCTGTCTTTTTGTTTTGTTGAAAGTTTCCTTTGCTGTAAAAAGTTTTCAGTTTGATGTGGTTACATTTGTTTTTCTTTTGTTTCCCTTGCCTGAGTAGATATACCTGGAAAATATCACTAAGAGCAGAGTCATAGAGTTTACTGCCTATGTTTTCTTCTAGGAATTTTATGGTTTTGAGTCTTACATTTAAGTCTTTAATTTTTTTTTTTTTTTACTTTATTCTTATATATGGTGTAAAAAGGTGGTCTACGGATCAGCGAATTAGAAGACAGGGTAGAAAAAATCAACCAATCAGAAAAACAAAAGGAAAAAACTATTAAAAAACAGGAAGACAGCTTAAGAGAACTATGGGACAACTGGAAACGTAATAATATTCGCATCATAGGAGTCCCCGAAGAAGAAGAAAAGGAGCAAGGGATAGAGAATATATTCAAAAAAATAGTGAGAGAAAACTTCCCTAATTTGGTGAAGGAAGAAGGCATTCAAGTTCAAGAAGCACAGAGAGTCCCAAGTAAGAAGAACCCAAACAGGCCCACACCAAGACACATAGTAATTAAAATGCCACAAATTAAAGACAAAGAGAGAATCCTAAAAGCAGCAAGAGATAAGCAACAGGTTACCTACAAAGGGAACCCCATAAGGCTCTCAGCTGACTTCTCACAAGAAACACTACAGGCCAGAAGGGAATGGCATGAAGTAATCAAAGTCATGAAAAACAAGAATCTGAATCCAAGACTACTCTACCCAGCAAGGCTATCATTCAAAATAGAAGATCAAATAAAGAGCTTCCCAGACAAAAAAAAGCTAAGGGAATACATGAGCACCAAACCAGCACTGCAAGAAATGTTAAAAGGACTGCTGTAATTAGCAGTAGAAATGGGAACAAAAATAGAACCACACTAAACAAAAATGGCAATAAATAAGTACATATCAATAATCACCTTAAACGTAAATGGACTGAATGCTCCCATAAAGAGACACAGAGTAGCTGATTGGATAAGAAAGCATGACTCATCTATATGTTGTTTACAAGAGACCCATCTCTCAACAAAAGACTCACATAGGTTGAAAGTGAAGGGATGGAAAAAAATTTTCCAAGCAAATGGAAAGCAAAAAAAAGCTGCGGTAGCAATTCTCATATCTGATAAAATAGATTTCAAAATGAAGACCATAACTAGAGACAAAGACGGCCACTACATAATATTGAAAGGATCTATCCAACAGGAAGATATAACCTTGATAAACATATATGCACCCAATATAGGAGCACCAAAATATATTAAAAATCTTCTGGAGGACTTCCAAGGAGAAATCGACAACAATACAATCATAGCTGGGGACTTCAACACCCCGTTGACAGCACTGGATAGATCCTCTAGGCAAAAAATTAGCAAGGAAACAGAGACTCTAAATGAAGCACTAGACCAAATGGATTTAATAGATATCTACAGAGAATTACACCCCAAACTACAGAATACACATTCTTCTCAAGTGCACATGGGACATTCTCAAAGATAGACCACATGATAGGACACAAACTAAATCTCTACAAGTTCAAGAAGATTGAAATCATATCAAGCATCTTCTCAGATCACAATGGCATGAAACTAGAAATCAACTGCAACAAGAACATGCAAAGACATTTCAACACATGGAGGCTAAATAGCATGTTATTAAACAATGAATGGGTCACCGAGGAGATCAAGGAAGAAATCAAAAACTTCCTGGAAACCAATGAAAATGAACACACAACAACACAAAATCTATGGGATGCAGCGAAAGCAGTTCTGAGAGGGAAGTTCATAGCACTACAGGCCTACCTCAAAAAACAAGAAAAATTTCTAATTGACTGTCTAACCTCACAACTTAAAGAATTAGAAAGCAAACAAAAAGAAAACCCCAGAGCAAGTAGAAGGAAGGAAATAGTAAAGATCAGAGCAGAAATAAATGACATAGAGACCAAAAAAACAATTCAAAGGATCAATGAAACAAAGAGCTGGTTTTTCGAAAAGATAAACAAGATTGATGGACCCTTAGCTAGACTCACCAAGAAACAAAGAGAGAGAACCCAAATACACAAAATCAGAAATGAAAGAGGAGAAGTAACAACCAACACCACGGAAATACAAAAGATCGTTAACAACTACTATGAACAACTATATGGCAACAAATTCGACAATCTCAGCGAAATGGACAAATTTCTAGAAACACACAGTCTCCCAAAACTATTCCCGGAAGAGATAGAAAACTTGAACAGACCAATAACAACTAAGGAAATTGAAGAGGTAATCAAGACTCTCCCAGCAAACAAAAGCCCAGGCCCAGATGGTTTCACGGGGGAGTTTTACCGAACATTCAAAAAAGAACTAACACCCATTCTCCTCAAACTATTTCAAAAAATTCAAGAAGAAGGAAGACTTCCAAACACGTTCTATGAGGCCAGCATAATTCTAATTCCAAAACCAGAAAAAGACACTACGAAGAAAGAAAACTACAGGCCAATATCCCTGATGAACATAGATGCCAAAATCCTGAACAAAATACTAGCAAATCGGATCCAGAAATACATCAAAAAAATTATTCACCATGACCAAGTGGGATTCATTCCAGGGATGCAAGGCTGGTACAATATTCGCAAATCAATAAACGTGATACACCACATAAACAAAATGAAGAATAAAAACCACATGATCATATCAATAGATGCTGAAAAAGCATTCGACAAAATCCAGCATCCATTTCTGATAAAAACGCTCAGCAATGTAGGAATAGAGGGATCATATCTCGACATAATAAAGGCCATATATGAAAGACCTACAGCCAACATCATACTCAATGGACAGAAACTAAAAACATTTCCATTAAGAACAGGAACAAGACAGGGATGTCCACTTTCGCCACTCTTGTTTAACATTGTACTGGAAGTCTTAGCCACAGCAATCAGACATGAAGAAAAAATAAAAGGGATCCAAATTGGAAAGGAGGAAGTGAAACTGTCATTATTTGCAGATGACATGATATTGTACATAGAAAACCCTAAAGACTCCATCAAAAATCTATTAGACTTAATAAATGAATTTGGCAAAGTAGCAGGATACAAAATTAACGTCAAGAAATCGACGGCATTCTTGTACATCAATGATGAACTCTCAGAAAGAGAAACTGAAAAAACAATCCC